GCCTAAACTAACATAACATATATAATGTTTGACAGCAACCTCCTCGCAATCTACCATTGCCGCCTCGCTCACCATTGATCAGGAACTCTATGTGGGCCGGGCTCAATTGCGGCAATGTCCCCACAACCCTGCTGCGCGATGCCTACGGACCTCTCTCGTCCGCTTCATCGAAGGTACAACTACCCCGCTCAACATCATCCCCGACCGCAACTTCCTCGCGCTTAACCTCACAACCGCACCTGCAAAAGGAGAAACAATAGCAGAACCTTGAGAAAAAGAAGGGCCCGTGCTCTTCATTCCTCATGAGACAGAAGCAGAGGCAGCCACATACCACGCACGATACCTGCGCCTCTAAAGTACGTGCAGAAGATGACCTCTGGCACCAACGGCTCAGCCACCCCTCACGTCAGACTTTCAACAGCTGTCTCACCGCCAAAGTCTTCCTACCAGGAGCGCAGCTGCGTCCGATGGCATGGAACCGCAAAGCACCACACAGCCACATACCTGCACCGTCTGCCCCACAGCTGCCCTCACGCACCAAGCCTACCCCTCGCTGGAGCCAAGCACCAACTGTTACAAGAAGCTACAGAAAGTCTACAGCAACTTCATCGTGATAACCTACGGAGCAGTCAACGATGAGAATCACACTCTCATCTTTATCGACGCGTACTCACGCTATGTCTTGGTAGTCAACGTCGACTTCCGCTCGAAAGCTTCTGAGGCCTTTCGGATGTGGTTGGCTCACGCGCAACGGGAATCGGGAAAAAAACTGAAAATTTGGCAGACAGACGGCGCCAAGGAATCCCGGAGCAACGAACTGCGGGGGTTCCTCACGGAGAAGGTGATCAAGCATCACATCTCACTCCCTTATGCTCACCAGCAGCAAGGCGTCGCCGAACAGGTTAACCGCACCCTCATGACGAAGGTCCGCGCCCTCATGAAGTACTGGCGGTACGCCATGAACCACGCCGTGTGACTCCAGAACCACGCCGTGTGACTGCAGAACCTTCTGTCTAAGACAGCAAAAAGGGAGAACCTCTCACCACACATGAAGTGGACTAGGACAAGGGGGGACACCACTATGCTGAGGGTCTAGGGGTGCATGGTGCAGTATGGGCTGACAGATGCTACCATCAGCAAGTTCACTTACAGCGCGCTCGGGAGTCCACCTGGGACTCAGTTATGAGTACAAGGGCTGGCTGATCCTGGACATCAGCACCAACAAGATCGCACTTGCGCGAGACATCCTCTTCTACGAGCAACTCACCTTAGACCAGTGGATCGAGGACAAGCACAGAAACGTCGCCCAAGCTTACGCCAAGAACGGCCAAAGCTTCGCCTCGCCAAAAGATGAGGCAGCTGCAGCATCCCTTTGATCGCGAACCCGCCGACAAACATCCCGGCGTACCTCCTCGTCCGCGCAACGACAACGACGACGATGAAGACGACGACGACGCTCCCGCGCCAGGACCATCACATCACCATGAGCCTCCAAGCAGCTCACCACAGGAGAGCGACGACGATAATGTGGTTGAAGTAACAACTAAGGAAGCAGGCCTCCAACTCTTCGACCTGCACACCACCATCACTACCGCTCCGCGCATTGTTGAGCCCAAAAACCTGCGCCAAGCCGTCACGGGTCCACACGCCAAGGAGTGGCGTGCAGGTATGCATGCCCAACTGAAAGAACTAGAGTCGCACGACACATGGGTCCTAGTCGATCGTGCAGCTATGAAGGGGATGAGGGTGCTAAGTGGAAAATGGGTCTTTCGTCTAAAGGCCGCCGTAGACGGAACTATCGAGCGCTTCAAGGCACGGTGGGTCGTAAGCGGGTACGACCAGCGCCACGGCATCGACTTCAACCATACTTTCGCCCCGTAAGCCGCCATGCCTCTGTGCGGATCCTACTCGCCATTAATGTTGCTAAGCATCTACCACTACGGCAGATCAACGTAAAAAAAAAAAGTGTTTGTACACGCGTTGGTTGATGCGACCATTTTCGTGGAGCAGCCGCACACCTATGGGGAAGGGGACCCAAGGGTCTGTCAGGTGAAGAAACCCCTTTACGAGATCAAGCAGGCGCCGTGACTCTAGCAACAGCACCTGCACAAAATACCCCACAAGATCGGCTTTAGACAGCTGAGGACGACTCAATAATGTACCGCCTCCAGTTCAACGACGACTACATCCTCCTGACAATCTACATCGATGACATGTTGTACACCGGCACTTGCAACAAGCTCCTCAATCAGTTCAAGGAAAATATGGCGCAGCGCGTTGACATCACCATCAACCACAAGGTCACACAATTCTTGGGGCTGAACATCACCTTTGCGCAAGAAGCCATTCATCTGTTAGCTTCCAATTACGCAGAGCAGCTGGGAGAGCGCTTCAAAATTTTGTCCGCAGCACTCTTAACCCCCTACCGCACCCCCAGCGCCAACTACAAAGCGGACAACAAACCTCTGTCGCCCGCGGGACTTCAACTGTACCAACAGCAACTTGGGTGCCTGCTGTTCGCCTTTGTCACCTGCCGACCCGGCCTTTCGTACATCGCCAGCCAACTGGCACTTTACTCTCGCAATCCAGTAGCCGAGAACCAGCTGGACATGGAGCGCGCCCTACAGTATTTTGTCTCCACGCCTGACATTGGACTCTCCTACTCCACGCTGACAACGAACCTTACTGGCTACGTGGACGCAGATCACGCCACTGACCCTGCCAATCGACGGTCATGAACCGGCTTTATCTTCCCCCTAGAGCCAACGGGCCCAATCTCCTAGAACTCAAAAAAAGTATAAGTTCGTTGCCCTGTCATCAACTGAAGCAGAGTACATCGCCGCGACAAGTGCAGTTCGCGAAAGACTCTACCTGAAGAGCTGCAACAAGAGGCAAAAATCCCACCTTTCCCCTTCACTACGACAGCCAGAGAGCCATCAAGATCACGAACAAGCCAGGGTTCGTCAACCAAACGAAGCACATCGCGCTTCGATATTTTTTTGTCAAGGACGTCATTAACCAGAGCAAGGTTGACCTCATGTACTACCTCACCAACGAGATGGCAGCCGACTTTCTCCCCAAGCGTCTGCCAGGTCAGCTGTACCTGCACTAGTTCAACCTTACGGGAGTAGTCAAGCGAGTCAGCCTCCAACACGCCCAGGAATTAAAGGGGGTGTTGCAATATGAAACTAAATGAGAAGGCATTCCTATACGCTGCAGGAGCTGACTCTACCGAGTATGAAGTCGTAGAGTCAGAAGAGTCGAAGCGACACCAGCAACCTTCAGATCAAGACCGATGCAGACAAAAATATTTGAAGTGAAAAGAGCGGGAATATGTTTGAGACTGGTTCCCGCGCCGCACCGTTTGAACTTTGCGGTAATAAGGGAACGCACCCCTAAGAGTACATGGCTAGTCTATATCGTTTCGCATTCCTTTGTATTTCCTATATAAACACGATGTATCTATGTTTTTATCATCTCAGTGATTTAGATTCACTCTAACTTGAGGTCAACACTTCTGTTGCAACACTACCTGCGATCAATCTTAAGCAGATCCATGGCTAAGTCCCGTTTAGGATTGTAACAATTTCAATAATGTCCCTCTAAATGCCCCCACCATGCTTATTCATTTGTGAACAGAGGTCGTATTAACATAGACAGAAAACTATGAGAACATTGAAAAAAAATATGTAAAATACTTTCAACATTTTAAGGTCTCAGAATATTGGTAACTGTTACGAGTGCAATTGAGTGATCTAGCGATAATTGCACTATCAAAGCAAGAGTACAATGAGCGAAGGCATGAGCGAAGTATATATAGCGAAACTGTAGTGGTAACGGTAATGCGTGAAATTGGGGTGCGCGACGGGCGTAGCGCCGAGGTTGGGAAATGTCGAGGCGGAGGTCCGGAGCGCGGGTTACCAACCGAACCGTGAGGTTGGGTCGCGTCGTGAACAGTGGCAGAAACAGTGTCATGTCTAGTGTTGCGAGTGGTAACGGATTACTGTTGGGTGCTGTTGGCGGGAACAGTGGTCTACGCGCCGAGCAGGGAAGCTAAGGAAAAGAAAATTTCGTTTTAGTAACCCAGCTTCTAAACATAGTGTTGCGAAGAATTGTGAGCCGAGGTCACGTTTCCCAACTCCTGGCTGTCGGCCATCGACAAAATCGTCGTAGATGTTACACACTCTTTGCGAAGACAGACTCATCCACACACAAAGATGCGAGTATTCAGGTCCTAATATTAGGGTTTCGAAATACCTAATCCGTACATCACGACTGTCCACGTCCACAGTGTTGCAATTCGACATATCCAAATAGTCTTTCTTCGTCCAGAGCAGCAATGCAGAGTGGGTTTGGGAGTATGTGTCTGGCTGTTTCGTCAGTATTATCCAAACACCAATCGCGGCGAGACCGGTAGCCGCTGCGTGCCACGTCAGCAGCGTCCGCGGTTCCGGGACCCGCTTCACCTCGCACATCTTCTACTGCAATCAGCACTCCGTTATTTTTTGTAGGGCCCAGAAATTATCTCCAGCTCGTACATCTCATCCCAGTGATTAAATCGGCGCTCTTTTCAGTAACTTCTCGTTATAGCAAGTCCCGTTTCTGCTTCTGCGGCTCTGTCCGCCGCCATGGTTCCTGGAGCCAGTGCACCCTCTGCTGCTGTTAGTCGCCCCATCGACTACTCCAAGTGGGACCATGTGGGCGATAGCAGCGACGAGGAGGAGAGAGAGAGGGCGAGTGATGAGGAGGACAGGGAGAGCGGGAGTGATGAGGAAGAGCATGACAATGCGATTGATGAGGTCGAGAGAGAGTATAGCAGCGACAAGGGGGATGCTGGGGGGAGAGAAGAAAGGGAATTGGAGAAAGTGGGCAGGCGGATTTTCGGAATACAGCTAGAGCAGAAGCAGGAGCAGTGTAGGGAACACAACCAGGAGCAAGGGCAGACCGCTGTGAAACAAGGTGGTTCAAAACGTGGCACTCAGCTGATATCTAGATCCGGAATGGTGCAGTTCGTCAACTCATACGGCTGTGGCGCGTGCGAGGCTGAGTCTCCCTGCTCCTGCTGCTTCCACCGTGTGCTTGGCACCCGAGGGAAAGCAGCCCTTGGCATCCTGAGCTTAAAGGACTTTCAGCGCGATTTACTTCAGCAACTGCCCACGTCCATTCCCCTGGCAGCACCAGAGTGGCAGGGGGGGGGTGGGTCCCTAAAAGGTGAGAAAGGAAACCACGCGGCAAAAGAGGTAGCAGAAGTAGTGGCAGGAAAGGGGGCGGGAGCAGCAGAACTAGGAGCAGCAGGCGAGGGAGAAAACGTAGCGGCAGAGAAAGGGAAGGGAGCGACAGAGATGGGGGCGGCAGGAGGCGTTGATGATTACAGTTGGAAACGAGCCCCTTACTTGTGTGCGAAGTCCATGATTCTCGAGTGGATGGCTGAGCCTCGTGTGGGCGTGCTCATGGACCTGGGGAGGATCAGGTCCCGTTTGCCTGCAATCATCGCCGCTACAGATGCTCCTGCTGCTCCTCATACACATGCTGCCACCTCCGCCTCCTCTGCTCTCCCCTCGCGCACCCCCCCCTGCCTCGGTCCCCTGGCACTGCTGCTGGCGCTGCAGCAGCTGCTGGGCCTCCTACCGTCGCGCTCTGTCCCTCTGCGCCTTCCTTGTTCTTGTAGCGAATTCTCCTCGCTTTGTGATTTTATGGAGGGCTCAGCTTGCCTCCCTTACAGGCCTCTTCGCTCCTATTGTGGAGGAGCTAGGGGCACGCAGGCAGGGGGAGAACGATAGCTTGGCGTCGGTGCTGGTGCAGGTGCTGGGGGTGAAGTGCGGAGAGGAGATGCAAGACGGGTTTAAAGCCCATCTGCTGCCTGATGGCGCGGAGGCACACAGAGAGAGCGAGGGTGGAGCAGGGGAGGATAGGGGAAAGTGCGGAATAGCGGATGGTGGGAGAAAAGGGAGGAATGGGGGGAAGCAGGAGGCTGGGAGAAAGGGTGGAAGACGCGAGGGAAAAGGTGATGGTGGTGGTGCCGGCAGCAGTTGGGAGTGGAGGCGGGGGCTGGAGGGTCCTGTGTGGAACAGGTATGTGGGTGGTGTGGCTTGTCTTGTTGCGCATGAAGGACGGAGCGGGACAACAAGGGTCCCGAAAGCCGTTTCTAGCAGCAGCGGTGATCCAAATGGTTTTCTTATCTCACGCATCGCCAAGGCTTTCAGCAGCAGCGGTATTCCCAAGGGCATGTTTGGGAGTGGCATTTACGCCACTGATTTCGCCCTTACCGTTGCTACAGTGCTCTCCAAGCCCAGATTCTCCATGGAGGCTTGCCGGATATTTTTCACAGATGCTAATAACGAGTATCGAGTGAAGCTGGAGAATTCTGCAACTGAGGCTGCCAGGAACAAAGTAGGCATGGGTGCAGAAAGAGAGAGGGGAGGTGGTGACACAAAGAGCCATGGAGCTGAGATTGGTGTGAGAGGTGCAGTGAAGGACGGCTGGGAGGCGGTGACCACAACCAGTAACACGTTCGTGACTGTGCTGACGTGGAGGGTAAGCTGCATTCTTATGTGGGTCCGAACCTACGGCCCGAACCTGCAATCTCCGAAGGCATGTGCACTCCAAACCTGCGTCAAGCCAAAAAAGGATCTCCCAGTCCTCCGCCACCCATTTCGGGATCTCCCGAGCCTGCTGATCAAGTCCGGCACCATGCCGGAGCCCTTGGTTCGGCGGGGCTTTTCTTGGGAGTGGGAAGAGGTGACTGCTGGCGATGAAGCTGCTATAAAGCTTGCTGATGACGTGGAGGGGAGGATTCTATATGAGAGAATCCTTAAGGAGGTGTACGGGGCCACTGTTGACTGGAATATTCCAGCGAATGCAGCAGCAGCAGCAGCGTCGTCAGCAGCATCGTCGTCAGCAGCAGCAGGTTCAAGAAGCCGTCCGGTGGTTCGCACGGTGGCAGACGTGGAGTTCCTGGTGGAACTGATGGCGGCAGAGAGAGAGCCTTCCAGGTGCACGCGGTGCTGGAAGTGCCACCTCCGGCACGCCGCTGCCATCAACTACGTCGCGCTGCTCGCCTCCTTCGCGTACCGCCCCGTCTCCACCCTCATCCACCGCTTCCTCTTCCTCTTCCCCCCCGACCAAACCAAAGAGGTGTACACGCTTCTCCGCATGTTCATGCCGTCAGGGCTTGAAGAGAGGGTGAACTGGAGGCATGTGAGAGGTCGTTTGGAAGGGTTCGCAGAGGAAAAGGAGATGGGGATGTTTACGCATGCTTGTACAATGATAGCGTGGACGTGGGCCAAAGAGGAGGAGACAAATCCAGGGCGGTTTGCACGACTAGCAGCTCAGGAGGGTGCGGAGCAGGGGAAGGGTGGGGTGGGCAAGTGGAAGCAGCTGGATAGTGAGATGTGGGAGGAGGTTCGGGCGTGGCGGCATGCTGCCAAGGCTGCGTGGCCCGGGGACAAGAGGAACTGGATGGGAGAGCTGCGGGATGAGTGCACGGGTGGCAGGAAAAGGACGAAACGTGAGAGCAGTGAGGAGGAAGAGGGGGAAGAAGAGGAGGGGGAAGAGGAGGAGGGGGTGGTGGGGGCGCAGGAGGGGCCAGTTTATGCGCACAAGTGGGTGGGAGGAGTGAACCTGGTGGCTTGCCTGAGAGCCATGCTGCTGGGGGAGCCGTGGAAAGGTGGGTTAGCAGCGATGCCAGAAACGGCAAAACGAGCAGCAGGGAACAGCGCCACTCGAAATCGAGCAGGAGCAGGGAGCAGAGCAGTAAGAAGCCAAGAACCCGGCACCCCCGCAGGAACTTTTTGGACAGATGCATCTGGTGTAGATAACCGGGCAGAGCGGCTGAAATCAGGGTACCGGCGGGTGTGCCAAGGGCCAAAGTGTAGCTGTGTGGAATGGGATGGAGTGGAGCTGAAGCTGTGTGCGCGGTGTGGCAGTGAGGCGTACTGCAGCAGAGCGTGCCAGAAGGCTGCCTGGCCCTCCCACAAGCTCACATGCCGCCCAAAGGGACAGGGGAAATGAGATTCATGAGAGAGACGGAGGAGGGGAAGGGGCATGTGATGTGAAAGAGGCGCACTGCAGCAGAGAGCACTCACAAGAAGCTCACATGCCGCCTATGTTGGCAGATACGCTCTTGAAAGGCTGGCGTATCACGTATATTCGCTAGCGTATATGCGTGATACGCTGATACGCTCTGAATTCGCGAAAATACGGCCGGGCAGCCCGGCGAAAAAAAAATTCCGAAATTGAAAAACTTCGCGACGATGTGCGAAGTCGCGAAGTGTTACCGCGACTTCGCTCATGTGCCCAACCCCACTTCTGAACTTCGAATTTCAAAAATCCAAACTTTCCCACCCCCTCAACCACACATCACCCCACCCAACCTCTCAATCCCAACCACCCCCTTCAAATGTTCTTCCATCGTTAGCACGTATAGGTCGACGTTGCGCAAATGCTCTTCCATTTCCTTCCCGCATTTCTCCACTCTTCTTCGTTAGTTAGACTTACGTAGTGCGCCATGGCGTCGGGCTCAGCTCCTAGTACTTCGACGAACAACAATCCAGCCTCTGTCCATGACTCTACTACCGTCAACACGGATCCTGTTGAGGCTGGACTATCTCACCCCATTCTGAAACATTTCCTCATTCCGTTTCACACCAAAGGCAACCCCAAGCTGTGCAAGTTCTGTGGCAAGAAGTTCGAGGGCGGAACAAACCGCTGTGCAATCCATCTCGCGACATGGAAAGGGCAGGAGAAGCGCGCTGTGGCGTTATGCAAGGACGCGCCCACGGCAGTCCGCGATGAAGTCCGTGGCATGTACGAGACCAAGGCGGAACAGCAGGACTTGAAGAGAGGGGCGGCCGCTGCTGCAATTCACTCCGCGCTTGACGCTGTCAGTGGAAACCCGGAGAAAAAGAGCAAAATTACGGATTTCTTTGGCAATGAGGCGACGTGCGCCAAGGAAGACGCGGATAACGCGCTTTGCCTTCTGTTTGCGGCGCTGAAACTTCCGGAGCGCATTGCGGACGATCCGGTCTTCCGCTACGCGGTCCAGTGCATTGCGCGCGCTGGACCTGGATACGTCCCTCCTAAGAGGCGCTACATTGGAGGGGCAGGCTTGAAGAAGGTGCGGCAGAAAATGGAGGTCGTGTTCGCCCCCGTTGCCGCGAGTTGGAAGCGGGACGGGGTAACGGTGTCGTCGGACATGATGACCGACCGTTGTGGCCGCCCGCAGGCCAACGTGCTCCTTGTCAACGACTCCGGCGCAGTTTTCGAGCAGGCGATGGACTGCAACATGGAGTCGAAGACCGGGGGGTACATCGCCAGCCTTCTCCGCCCCGTCATTGATAAGGTGGGGCCGGAGAATGTGGTGGCGGTCTGCACCGATGGCGGCAGCAACTATGCATCGGCCGCCAAGAAGATTGCGAGCACATGGCCGCACATTGAGCATGTGCCATGTGCCACGCATGTCCTGGACCTGATGATGGAAGATATGGGCAAAATGGGATGGGCGAAGGGGCTTGTGGAGAAAGGAGGGGAGATGATTACCTTCGTGCGCAACCACCACTTTACCCGTGCCTATATGAAGAAAGTGGGGGGGAAGCAGGTGCTCAAGCCTGCGGGAACCAGGTTCGGGACACAATACATAGCCATGGCCCGGCTATGTGAGGTGAGGAGTGGGCTGGCGGCGATGGTGCTCAGCAACGAGTGGAAGGTGTGGGCAGCGGCGGACAAGGATAGGAAGACAGCAGCTGAGAAATTCAGGGCTGCTGTGATGGATGAGGAGTGGTGGGGGGTGGCGGAGTTCTTTACCTCTCTCATGGCGGTGCCATTCAAGGCCATGCGGGCCACGGACTCTTCCGCGAAAGGCATGATGGGTAAGCTGTATGACATCATGCTACAGCTTACCGAGGACATCAATGACAAGCTCGACGCTTCAAGTGACTTCTTGACTCGGACAGAGAGGGCAGACATCACCAAGATTGTGAAAGACAGGTGGGACAACTCCCTTGCCTGCCCCATGCATGTGGTTGGCCGGATCCTGAATCCGGCCAACCAGGAGGAGGGAATTTTCAGGAACGATGTGGAGTGCACGCGGGTGTTCAAGGACTACATCGAGCGCCACTATGACAACAAGACCTTCAAGCGTGGCAAGGATGGCGCCCCTCGCCGCGCCTCCCTTGTGCTGCAGGAGGCATTGCTGGCCTACATCAACATGGAGGGCAGCTTTGGCAAGCCGGGCGCCATTTCTGCAAGGGAGGCAGTGAAGAAGGGGGAGATGAGCATGGTGCAGTGGTGGTCGTGGCACAGCACCGAGTATCCTGAGCTTGCCGCCCTCGCATGCCGGGTGCTCACTCAGCCCGTCTCGGCTTCCCCATGCGAGCGTGGCTGGGCGCAGTGGGAAGGCGTCCACACCGCCCGCCGCAACCGGCTCGGGTCCGCCAAGTGTGCGGACCTCGTCTACATTGCGCACAACTGGAACGTTGTGCGCAATTGGTACAAGAAGGATGGGGGCAGCACGGTTGTGCCCGGTAACATCCCGGATGCCCCTATCCCCGGCTATAACATGGATGAGGAGGAGGATGACATGCTGGGGGAGGAAGGAGAGGATGCAGTGCTGGCGGATGAGTATGGGGAAGGTGTGGTGGTGGAAAAGCCCCGCAAGGAAATCGGTTGTGGGGAAGCTAGCTAGAGGGTGGGGTGGGGTGGGGATGTATGGGGAGAAGTAGCCCCAAATATGTATTTCTGGATATTTATGAAATTTAAATTATGACTTGTGTTCTTGGAAAACAATCCCCCCCCCCTGAAACAGGTTTTTTTAGCCCTGCCCGGGAAAAAAGTTTTACCTGCCCGCCCAGCGTATTTTTGCGTATCACCAGTACGCCAGCCCTGGCGTACCGCGTATATACCCAGCGTATAATACGCTAGTGTATTATACCCTGGGACGCGTATCTGCCAACGTAGCATGCCGCTCACAGGGGCCTGGGAAAGGAGAGGCTTGAGAGACGCGAAGTGGTTTGTGAGGGGGGAAGGTGTTGTCTGGGCGGGAGTGGCAGTAAGGCGCACTGCAGCAGGGAGGACCAGAAGGGCTTCTGATGAAGTGCTTTTGGTTCACCTGCATGCTCAGGCGTGAGTAGTGAATTGAGCACTTTCACCCAGAAAATCCGGTGGTCGAATTCTCCTGGTAAATTGCCTGATAGACCCTGATTTAGTTTCCATTTAGTAAGGCCGTTAGTTCAGGGAAAACCAATTTCTCACCCTGATTCCAATAAAAGTAGTACCTCTGCAGCAGTGCTTGCCGGGGTGGGGTGCAAGGGGGGAGGGAGAAGAGGGTACGGTGAGGAAGGAGGGGGAACAAGATGAGGAGCAGGGAGAAAAGCGGCACCAGAGAAACAAGAGGAAGGAGGGTGAAGAGGGCAAGGAGGGTGATGAGGGCAAGGAGATTGAAGTGTGGGGTGAAGTTAGATAGGCAGCCTTGGAAAGTGGTGAAAGGCAATCTGTGAAGGCAGGATGTCAGTCGGAGTGACATGGAGAGCAGGGCTGGTGGCGAGTGGATGAGGTTGTAAGGGCTGTGGATGAGAGTGGTGCCCACTGATGCCATGCCTGTTAGGCTGCCTGGCGCTCATGCTGCCTCGTTGGTGCTGCCAGTGCTGCTTCAAGGGACAGCATACTGGACGGTGAGCAGCAGGCATTCTCCCGGCTTCCGCCGAGAGTGTGAAGGCCGTGAATCCCATGAACAGCCACCATCTTCTTTACAATGCTCATAACTCCTGCTGACAATTCCACTCTCAATTCGCCCTGTGTTCCAACTGGTTTTATTTTCCTTGTCCCTTATGCGTTGTTTTTGCTCCCCACCCCTATTTCTATTTCCTGGTCCTTGTTATACCCTCTTTCGGCGTCCCCTACCTGCTCCTGACTGCTATGCCCATAACCTCAGCAACTTGGGGCGGTGTGGTCGGCAGGCAGGAGGCGGCAGGCGTCTGTGAGGGAGTATATTCTCGTGGGGGAGGAGGAGGGCGGCATCTGTGGTCATCTTCTGCTGACGGGGCACTTCCTGGCTTGCGGACGTGGCGACAGGCTGGGACACTGAAGTGGAAACGGGAGAGGGCAGATGAGGAGGAGAAAGAAGCAGAAGAGGAGGATGAGGAGGAGAAAGAAGCAGAAGAGGAGGATGAGGAGGAGGGAGGGAGAGGATGAGGAGGGAGGGAGAGGATGAGGAGGAGGGCGAGGAGTGGAAGCAGGATGACAATGAAGTGGAACAGGGGGACCGCCTTGCAACCTGGAGTGATTAGGCCAAGAACATCAGCAAGGGGACAAGGGCAGGGGAGACAATTTTTGAGTCAACTCAAAAGTCAACTCGCTACAATGTCACACGGTGTGTTTTCTACACGGAGAGCTATCGTCGCTTGGAAGTTACCTAAGAGAGTTGGAAATTATTTGATTTCTGCTCATAAGAGTTAGTGTAGTGTAGTGTTTGTTACAGCCCTACAGTACAGCTTCTCCCTGGCCCAGCGAAGGAATGCCTCGCGTGGAGCCCTCGGGATTAGTATATTAGCTCTAGTTTGCTTCTTTTTTCCCTTGTGGTCTGAAGAAGGCTATAAGCCGAAACCGGTTACCGCCCAAATTTTCTCTACAAGAGATTTCAAGCAAACCTTTTAACTAACATTTTTTACGAGTTGAATCAGTCGCAGCCACGTAAAGACATGGCTCCTATCTGGGGCTCCATTGGACTTACGAAAGATACATCTACGATGGCCGACTACTAATTCAACGCAACAAAACCAACCAACACCAATGCTGACCCAGCTCCTGAAATTCCGAGAACCCTGAGATCATCGCGAAGAACTGCGAACTTCAACACGGGTACTCACAAGAATAAAGAGCCGGTCAGCTCGAAGGACTTCTCATTCGAAACTCCTTCGGCTTCCAGACCCAGCAATAGGAGAGCTCTCGACACTTCAGAAGCTACTCTAGCAGGGACTACTAACGCTCCAGGAATTACACCTATCGCCATGGCTACTCCTTTTGTCAAGGCTACGGTCCCTGGACAGGAAGCGGTGCATAATGTTCAAGACGTTCAGGACGTCAACGACACTGTCATGTCTGACGCTCTTGATTTCTTCGGAGAATTTAACACCTCTTTTCTGGAAAAGCAGGCTACTCCGACTCATTTGAATACGCTTAAGCAACAAGCGATTGCTGACTTTAAGAAGCATTTTTCCAAATATCGGACTCTAAGTCAGCAATATAACTTCATAGAAGAGCAGAAATGGAACGGGATCATTCCCCACTCTATCCGGATCAAGCCATTTAACTTCGTCTGCAATACTGAAGATCTTCGTCAGGAAGCAGATAAGAACCTGGAAGCGGCTCGTCTGGCTTACTGCCAGAATGCTCAGGACATCATGATCACCATGAAGAAGAAAGCCATGAATAAGGCTCTTAGCGACGCTTGCGCCGTCAATCTGTCTCTGCAACACCACATCGACAACTTCATTGATCTTAACAAGAAGTCCGACCTCGGATTGATTAATCCGAAGCTGATCGAGAGCCTGGATTTTTTCAAGAACAGGGTGTTGCTGGAGTTTAAGCATGCAGTTTCTGTCGTTTATATGGAGACTAACATGGCTGAAATTCTTCTGAAGCAGAAAAACGACGACATCAACGCTAAGAAAGCAGCTGCGGTTGCGGAAGCAGAGAGCTTACCTGTTGACCCCACTGTTCGGGAGATCGCTCGTCAAGAAGCGCAGAAAATCTGAAGCAGTCCTCCTCCTCTAAGATTCCGGTTAAGAGGGTGAATGGCAACGGCAACAACGGCAACAACAAGAAAGTTAAGGCCTCTGTTCATACTAAGTCTAAGACTAACAAATCCGGTGTCAATGTCAGGAGTGCTGGTGTTAAGAAATCTACTTCACCCAAGGCTAGGAAAGATACCCGCAACTCCGACTCCAATGACACTAAGAAACCGAAACAGACTGCTGCTGCTAAGAAGAAGATCACTCGCCCCAAGAGGACTGTCGCTGATGATGAGCAAGCCGCAGTTAAGACTGTCGGTCGCTCCTTTGCTAAGACCTCTGGACGCAACGCCTCCTGCCATGCTGGGAAAGCAACTGCATAAAAAAACGGGGGAGGTGGAGGCCGCGGAAAAACACAGACACGTTAGTCAGTGACGTGCATGCCTATGTGCTGATCCTCTTCGGCAGACAGACGGAGTATCAGCTGCAGTGTCGCGTTACGAACTGCGGTCTTCACAACTACAGTGATCACACGTTTTCACCGAAAGAACTGAACCTGCTAAGCCTCGGTCTCAAATACATACCTGTCCCTGTCATTCGTAGTGTTGCTAGCTTCGAAGCGGAACTGTCCTCTTTCTTCAGGAGTGTGCGTACCATGTTTCTTTTTAATGGAACCGATTCTCTTGGTTATTCAGGGTATAAACTGCCTAAACGAGCCAACTGGACTCCTCCGCCAGCATCTCGAGAAATTGAGACGGCGCTGGAGGTTTTCAGAGAAGCAGCTGTTAAAGAAATCAATGGACAAACCTTTTCCTCACTCACCCGCAAATCGAAGAATATCATCCCAACACTTCGACGCCTTGCTAAGGATCCGAATCTCATTTTTAAACCGGCTGATAAAAACCTTGGTCTAACAGTCATGAGCAGGGATTTCTATCAGGACAAGTGCCTGAAACACCTCCTTGACACTAAAGTCTACAAGGAATATTCGTCGGTCCCTATTTCGGAAATACTTGGCGACCTTCATTCGATCCGTGCTGAATGGAATCCTCTGATTAAAGCTCGGATTTGGGACTCCTTTTTTCATCAACCTCAATCAGGCTGGAAGGTCCCGACTTTTTACGTCCTACTTAAAATTCATAAGAAGGTCCCAGCCGGCCGACCGATCGCAGCTTGTCATTTCTGGATTACTACCAATGCCTCTAAATGGCTCGACTCCGTTCTTCGGCCTATGGTGCTGAAGCAGTCTACCTATGTGAAGGACTCTAAAAGTCTTATTCTGGAGCTGGAAAAACGGAGTTTTTCTTCGAATCTGCTGCTCGCGTCCTACGACGTCGAATCACTTTATCCGTCAATACCTCTATGGGACGGGATCAACGCTGTTGATTATTTTCTACGGAAAGAGCAACATCCGCTTGCACCAGTCATCATTCGTCTGCTGAGATGGGTGATGTTCAACAGTTTTGTGTCCTTTAATGGCCGATTTTTCCGCCAAGTCCAGGGTACAGCCATGGGGACTTCCGTAGTTGTTTGCTTCGCGATTCTTTTCCTCAGCTATCTGGACATTCAATTGCACGCCTCGCTGCGCGTTCTTCCCGCTCTACATCTCCGTTTCATTGACGACGGTCTGATTATGTGGGAAGGGACGCGGAATCGGTTTGACACCCTTCATTCATCCATCCGTCTCACCTGGGTCATTTCAGAGCAGACAATGGATTTCCTTGACTTAACAGTATCAGAATGTTATTGTTCTCTACCCTGCAGTGGGGTACTCTATAGCGAGTACAACCCCTTAGGGTTTCCTATATGTATCCTGTTGCTTTCTAGTGAACCCCTCCTTTGCTCAATTCTCTCTTGCCTAGCTAGGGTTTACGTAGTTATGGCTCCTACTTGTGCTTACTATCTTAACATGCTATCAGAGCGGTTACGCTCCTGGCCTGTGGGCCCACCTACTTCC